GTTTGCCACCCTCACTAGGAGGGTCACTTTACGATGTGTTTATTGAAGAAGCTAGCTCTGTTTTATGTAGCGTCTCTGTCCCTGGGTAGAAGCCCCTCTGACCATGGAGCTTGTTCTGGCTGCTAAAGTACGGTGCCGCCAAACTAACAGTGGCTCTCCCAATCAGGGTGGCAGCCGCCAGCCTCCCAGGGACCTATCCTCGCCTCAGCCAGCCACTCCTTGCTTCTGGCTCTCAAGATTCAATAAGAGCACACAGCTCTGAGCTACCGTCTCCACTTCAACGGGGAGGAGGCTTGCCATCTGCTAACAGAGTCAAGAAATCAAATTAGCGCTGGCTTTACACTCACTTTCTCCATGACACAAGTATTGGCAGTCAAGGGCTGAGTTCATCAGGGCTCCACACTAATTTCTTATCTTCTCTAAGTGACTCCACGCTGCCATCTGATGCAATTTGCCCCTGCGCTGTGGCCGAGGGCTCCAATTTCTGCTTGTTTTACCATCAGTTCCATTAATAGGACATCTCTGTTTTGGGTGGCGCAAGGTGGGGGGAGGTGGCAGGGAGAGGCTTTGGAAAAATAAGACCTGGTTGTTGTTCTGTTGGAAGGAGAAGGGCGTCAGAATAAACACCATGAGAGGGAAGAAACAAGCTTCCTCAATTTGGTTCGCTCGTCTCCACCTGATTTCCAAATAATCAGTTCCTGTAGGCCATTGCCCTTGCAGGGGCTCTAAGTGGAAAGGATGCTTAAGCAATAGGCATATGCCATTAACCTGAGGTTTAGCCCAGGACGACCTAAGGTGGTGGAAGGGAGTGGAAGGGAGAAGCCCACATTTTTGAATACTCTTCTATTTGGAAGATGAGAATCCAGGCAAGGAGAAAATTAGCACAGCAAGGGCTGCCACCTCTCTCCGTGATGTGCTAGTTGCAGGGAGAGGTATTATTGTTGTTGTTGTTAAAAAAGTATTGGAGCATTAAGGAATGTGATCATGACAACATATCATCTATCTATCTATCATCTATCTATCTATCTATATCTATCTATCTATCTATCTATCTATCTATATCTATCTATCTATATCTATCAATCATCTATCTATATCTATCTATATCTATCTATATATCTATCATCTATCTATATCTATCTATCATCTATCTATCTATCTATCTATCTATCTATCTATCTATCTATCATCTATCTATCTATATCTATCTATCTATCTATCTATCTATCTATCTATCTATCTATCTATCTAATCTATCATCTATCATCTATCTATCATCTATCATCTATCATCTATCTATCTATCTATCTATCTATCTATCTATCTATCTATCATCTATCTATCTATCTATCTATCATCTATCTATCTATCTATCATCTAGCTATCGTCTATCATCTATCTATTATCTATCTGCATGCTGTTTTTCAGGCCCATGGCCTCCTTCTCCTCTCTGTAACAGGGTAATAAGGATTTATTTATTTTTTTAAAATGCAGTCAGAACTGAATCCAGTCTATCACTCTAGGATTTTACAATCTATATCTATCTATCTATCTATCTATCTATCTATCTATCATCTATCTATATATCTATATCTATATCTATCTATCTATCTATCTATCTATCTATGTATCATCTATCTATCTATATCTATCTATCTATCTATCTATCTATCTATCTATCTATCTATCTATGTATCTATCTATCTATCTATATCTATCTATCTATCTATCATCTATCTATCTATCTATCTATCTATCTATCTATCTATCTATCTATCTATCTATCTATCTATCTATCTATCTATCTCTATCATCTATCTATCTATCTATCTATCTATCTATCTATCTATCTATCTATCTATCTATCTATCTATCTATCTATCTATCTATCTATCATCTAGCTATCGTCTATCATCTATCTATCTATTATCTATCTGCATGCTGTTTTTTAGGCCCATGGCCTCCTTCTCCTCTCTGTAACAGGGTAATAAGGATTTATTTTTTATTTTTTAAATGCAGTCAGAACTGAATCCAGTCTATCACTCTAGGATTTTACTGGCTCATTCTGCTTTTCCTCTCCTCCTGCATTTTGCAGATGAAAACACGAATTGGGTGTTCCAAGAACCATCAAGTCCTTTCCTTTCCTGACTCTAGTAAACACAACAGAAGGCACAGAAGGGATCTAACAATTTTGCTCCTGGGGCAACCACCCCTGGTTTTCTCCCACCCACATGCTATGCCACTGGCCTCCTTATTTGTCATGGTTTTATTGTGGTCTGCCAACAGTTTGCAAATAATATCAGTCAGGGTCCAGCCCGCTCTTGCTCTCAAAAGGTCTCCCAAATAATGAGCTTTGAAATCTCTACAGAAGCGACAGTGCAAAAGGTAATACACAACATCTTCCACCTCCCCAGTACCACAGACACAGGTCTGCTGCTACTACTGTCACTAATAATAACACAGTATGGGCCAGATACCAAGTTTAAACATGTGGCAGAATGAGGTGGGCGTGAGGTGGCAGAATGTGCCGCATTCTGGTGGGTGGGCATTACTGTTTTTGGATGATAAAAAGGTAAAGGGACCCCTAATCGTTAGGTCCAGTTGCGGACGACTCTGGGGTTGCGGCTCTCATCTCGCTCTATAGGCCGAGGGAGCCGGCGTTTGTCCGCAGACAGCTTCCAGGTCATGTGGCCAGCATGACAAAGCCGCTTCTGGCAAACCAGAGCAGCACATGGAAACGCTGTTTACCTTCCCACCGGAGCAGTACCTATTTATCTACTTGCGCTTTGATGTGCTTTCGAACTGCTAGGTTAGCAGGAGCTGGGACTGAGCAACGGGAGCTCACCCATTGCGGGGATTCAAACCGCCAACCTTCTGATCAGCAAGCCCTAGGCTCTGTGGTTTAGACCACAGCTCCACCCGTGTCCCACAGAGCCACCAAATAGCACACCTGAAAGAGATTGTAGCCCAGCCCTTTCTCACTGTGTTGATCTTGTGCTTGAGAGGCATTTGTTTTTGACATTAGGGAACATTCAAGAATGATGTCCTCCAAACTGCAGTTTGCAATGCTGCAGTCCATTACACCACCTGAGGACTCCATATCCTCCAACATTTTCTAATGAAAATAGGGACATCCTATTAGTAAAGATACTTTGGCCACCTCATGAGAAGAGAAGACTCCCTGGAAAAGACCCTGATGTTGGGAAAGATGGAGGGCACAAGGAGAAGGGGACGACAGAGGATGAGATGGTTGGATAGTGTTGTCGAAGCTACCAGCATGAGTTTGACCAAACTGCGGGAGGCAGTGGAAGACAGAAGTGCCTGGCGTGCTCTGGTCCATGGGGTCACGAAGAGTCGGACACGACTAAACGACTAAACAACAACAACATTAGTAAAGAGGGATGCGGGTGGCGCTGTGGGTTAAACCACAAAGCCTAGGACTTGTCGATCAGAAGGTTGGTGGTTCGAATCCCTGCAACGGGGTGAGCTCCTGTTGCTCGGTCTCTGCTTCTGCCAACCTAGCAGTTCGAAAGCACGTCAAAGTGCAAGTAGATAAATAGGTACCACTCCAGCGGGAAGGTAAACGGCATTTCCGTGCGCTGCCCTGGTTTGCCAGAAGCGGCTTAGTCATGCTGGCCGCATGACCCAGAAGCTGTACACCGGCTCCCTCGGCCAATAAAGCGAGATGAGCACTGCAACTCCAGAGTCGGTCACGACCGGACCTAATGGTCAGGGGTCCCTTTACCTTATTAGTAAAGAAAAAGTGTTTCATATGCATTATAACACTGTGACACCAGATGGCGCTGTGGAGTTCCATCTTTAACCAACGTGATTTCCCATTACTGAATAAAGTTTGCACCTGGGATACTTCTGTAAATCCCGGACTGTCCCTGGAAAATAGGGGCACTTGGAGGGTCTGGGACTCACTTTACCACATATTTCTGCTCCGGGTAGACATTGCCTCTTACTTCAAGGCCAGGATACTTCAGACTTCAGCTTTAGAGACCCAGAAAGTTTTGACGTTCACAGTGCAAGTCTCCTCCCATACCCGATTTCCTCCATCATGGGTTGGGCCTCAGCCTTGTCCTCCATCACCTTCCCCACACAAAAGGAATAGTGATAAAGCAGAGGAGGTGGAGGGGAATGACACAAGGGCCCCTTAATGTGACCTCTGGCTTCTGTTCACTCACCCCAAGCACCTCCCACATATGGATGGGGCTTGCACAGACGATAGCCAGTCAATTGTACGTGGCAGCCATTCTAGGTCTGTCTTAAGCGTCTCACGCACATTGTGAGTTGAATAACTTTTGTTCCACAGAGGGATGCCTTGTGGTTCTGTGGCTTGAATTCCCGCACTGTGTAACTTGAGGTTTGGTGTTTCAGTCCTGTCGGAGATTTTGCTAATGTTATCTGCTCCCAGCTGCACCCTTATCGCAGCACTTGATACGTTAATGCAGAAATTATCATTGAAATGTTCTCATCAATTTGTCAGGACAGCGCTCAAGTGAGTCTCAGGTTCTGCATGGCCTCTCAGGTTTTACCCTCGCGCAGAAAGCTCAGACAGTGGTACCCTGCCCTCCCCGCAACCAAAGGGATGCAGCAGTGATGAGCATCAATCCCTGAGCATCTTTGCATGACATCAGCTTGGGTGGGTGGGTGAATATCTTGGAGTCCTCTCTGCCTGAAACTTGAGGCAGCAGAGGGAGACTGATTGCAACATTAATTATGCATTTTTTAAAAATCCAACAGTTAGGGGGAAACAAGAAAGGAGGGGAATAAAGTACGCTCTGCCTCCTTAATTGCATTTAATTTCTCTGCAGAGGCAAAGACAGAGTGGAAGAAAGGGGTGCGAGAGGCAACCATAAGATTTCCTCTGCTGTGTCAAGGCGATCGGAAGAAGCATTGAGCCATAAAGTGCTCCCCATGCTCCCCAAGGTGTTCATGGCTCCCTCTGCTCTGGGGGTCTCTCTGCTCCTGCTGTACTTTACTTCTGTGCTGCAATGCAAAGGTAAGGAAACTTGAGCAAAAGTTTGAAAGGCTGCTTGTTTTGTGCCTGTGAGCTGAAGGAGAGACTTTGTAGGGGGGCAGGGGGTGCTGTCTGCATTTGCGAGGTCGAACTGCCAAACGTTTCATATTAAAGATAGCAGTGCAACTCGAATCATCTGAACTCTGGGTCCGGTGTCACTGTACGTGTATGAAAGAACACTGACGGCTAGCTTTCGTTCGGTAATACTGGATTGCTCCAGGGCAATCCTGAGGCTTGAATTGAGGGGAGGGGAGGATAAGTTGAAACTAAAGAGAGAGAGAGAGAAAGGAAAGCCTTCTTGTAAAAGATAACTCTGGAATTTGCTGCCACAAGCTGCAAAGGCAGCTCCTCACATGGATGGCTTTAAAAGGGGACAAGTCCCATTCATACAGGAGGATGAGAGGTCTGCTAGTGGCTATGAGACTTGATGGCTAAAGAATGGAACTTCCAGATTTAGAGGAAGTCTACCTCCAAATCCCAGGTGTAGTGGGTGGGGGAAGAAGAAGAAGAAGAAGAAGAAGAAGAAGAAGAAGAAGAAGAAGAAGAAGAAGAAGAAGAAAGAGCAATTGTTTTCATGCCCTTCACGTGAGCTATTGCACTGCTGGAAATAGAATGATCGGCTTAAAGCACCATCAGTTCAGCAGGGTTCTTTTCTACTTTGTGGTGCATTTATCTCATTTTAGAGCAGCCTCCCTAACCTGTGGCCCTCTAGATATGATTGGACCCAACGCCCTTCATCCCTAACCATTAGCCATACTGTGTGGGGCTGGTGGGAGTTTGGGAGTGCAGCAATATCAGGAGGGCAGCAGGTTGAGAAGGCTGGTGCAGACTCTAGACTTACTGGCCTTATGCCCCCACTGTTTAGATGACAATAATATGCACAACTTCAAAATATTGTAACCCAGCCCTGCTGTATTTGGGGCTCCTCTTGCTCAGTTTTGCTGATAGAGTCCTTGGGCATCTGCCCTAACATTCTGACCTGATGGTTCCCCTGGTTCTCTAGTGCCTTTATGTCCTCCTTTTCTTTTAATAGAAAGTGCTGGATCTGGATGAAGAGGTGCTTTTCTTCATGGGATATTAAAAGCAATATTTAACATTTGTGTGGATGAATCACAATACCTTTTGTTTTTGCAAGTAAAGTGCAACTTTTCTTTTATTTTTTTTAATGATTTAGGCTTGCTACCTTAAAAACACACCCCAAGTTTTTAACAGATAATTTTGGCTTTTTATTCTAATTTCAAGTTTCTTATCATTTGAACTAACTGGGGGCAGAGGAGACTGGAGAGATGGAAAAGTGCACATTTATTCACAGACCTGCGGAGAACAATAAAGCACTGGGGTGGGGGATGGGGACATGTTGTTTCAGAACCTGTTGCCTGAGCCAAGTTGAACTTGGAAAACCCAGTTCTGTGTATCGCTCATTGCTCAGAATGGCGGGGGTTGAAATCCTTGGACGGCAGCAACGGTGCAGAGAACAGATGATTGTGTTGTTGCTCAGGCTTCCTGTTCCTGATAACACAATGGACCGGGTTAGCTAATGATCATCTGTCAATTAGGGGCTCTTTGGTTTGCTAAGCAGTGGGAGCAGAATGGAGAGGAGCTGGAAAATACTGACAGGTGGACATCTGCTGTTGTTTGTTGCCATCCCAAGACAGGTTTGAACGTGGCTTTCATTTTGGGACCATCCCTCCTCTTAACGTAAACTAGCACAATGTTAATGTTCTGGAAAAGTGACCAAAATGTGGAATGTCAGGACAGGGTAAGGAAATTGTAGCCCTCCAGATGTTACTGGGTGGGTGGACTACAGCTCCCATCATTCATGGTTGTAGGCATGATGGCTGCCGGGGCTGATGGGAGATATAGTTCAACAACATCTGGAGGGCCACAGGTTCTCCATCGAGAATTGCACATGTGGTTTCATGATTGGTGGCAGAAACTGTCATGAAGTCCTTGTCTCAAAATCCCATTGAAAGGAACCTGGACGAGGGATAGCTCAATTGGTAGAGTAAGAGACACTTGATCTCAAGGTTGTGGGTTTGAGCCCCACCTTGGACAAGAAGATTCCTGTATTGCTGGTGGTTGGACTAGATGACCCTTGTTCTCCCTTCCAACTCTTCGATTCTATGATTCTATGGAAAGAAGGTCGGGTAAGCACAACATGATTGTTCCAATGGGTCTTGCTTGGGGCACATTTTCAGCAGGGCTGTGGCCAGAATTATTAGGGATACTGTAAATAATCTATAGGGACGCGGGTGGCGTTGTGGGTTAAACCACAGAGCCTAGGACTTGCCAATCAGAAGGTCGGCAGTTCGAATCCCCGTGACGGGGTGAGCTCCCGTTGCTTGGTCCCTGCTCCTGCCAACCTAGCAGTTCGAAAGCACGTCAAAGTGCAAGTAGATAAATAGGTACCACTCTGGTGGGAAGGTAAATGGCGTTTCCATGCACTGCTCTGGTTCGCCAGAAGCGGCTTAGTCATGCTGGCCACATGACCCGGAAGCTGTACGCCGGCTCCCTCGGCCAGTAAAGCGAGATGAGCACCACAACCCCAGAGTCGGTCACGACTGGACCTAATGGTCAGGGGTCCCTTTACCTTTACCTAAATAATCCATAAGAGCATAACAGGAGTCCTGCTGAGCCAGACCAAAAGGTCCACCTAGTGTAGCATTCAGTTTCTCAAAATGGCCAATCTTAAGCTCCTAAGATGCCCACAAGTAGGGCAAGAAAACAACAGCCCTCTCTAGTTGTTGTTCCCCGGTAGCTGGCATGCAGAAATAGAGTGCCTCTGAACATGACATTTCCATGCAACCATCAAAACTGAGTAGCCATTGATAAACTCACCCTCCTGAACCTGCCTAATACTTTACCCTTAAGAAGAATCTCAGTCAGCAACCGTCTCTCTCTGTCTTGTGGCAGAGAATCCCATACATTAATTGCACATTGTGCAAAGAAGTACATTCTTATCGGTCCTGAACCTACTGCCAGTGAATTTAATTGGATGACCCCGAGTTCTAGTATTAGGAAAGTGGAAGGAGGGGTGGAAGTAAGTCTCTTATCCACTTTTCCAACACCATACATAATTTGATAAACCTCAATCATGTCCCTCACCAAGATACTCCCCGCCCAACTGAAAAGCCCCAAAATGCTTTTGGCTTTTCCTTGCAGGGAAGGTGCTTTATCCTTCCAAGATGGATATAGGAAACTGCCTGATGCTGAGTCACACCCCGTGGTCCATCTTGCTCAGCATTGTCTACACTGACTGGCAGTGCTTCTCTGGGATTTCATGCAGGGGGTCTCCCCTCTTCCTACCTGGAAATGATGGGACTTGAACCTGGGACCTTCTTCGTACAAAGCAGGTGCTCTACCAGCTGAGCTACAGCCCTTCCCATCATTTTGGTGGACCTTTTCCAGCCTTACAATATTCTGTTGGAGGTCTCTGAGTACAAGTTGCTGGAAATCACAGGAGTGGTTTCCTGTCACTTTCATGTCCTGCTTTTGGGCTTCTCATTGGGGCTTCTGGCTGGCCACTGTGAGAGCAAGATGCTGAACTTGATAGTCCACTTGCCTGATCCAGCAGGCTATTCTAGGGGCCGTCTAGATGTTGCTGGACTACAACTCCCATCATCCCTGGTCATTGAACATGCTGTCTGGGGATGATGGGAGTGGTTGTTGTTGGCTGTACCAGACCAATGGGCTATCAAGTTGAACATCTTGTTCTCACAGTGGCCAACCAGATGCCTTCACTAGGAAGCCCAAAAGCTGGACCCAAGCACAAGGGCACTCTTCTCTCCTGTGGTTTCCAGAAACTGGTATACAGCCACTGACTATGAAGCCAAAACATTGTGGGGGGCACTAGGTTGGGGAATCATGCTCTAGCTCAGTATGACTGGTAGCAACTCTCCAGGCTCTCAGATATATAAGGACTTTTCTCAGTCCTTCAACCTGAAACCATTGCAGGTCAGAGTGTCAGGAATTTTAACCCATGACATTCTCATTCAAAGAAGACACAGCCAGTGAGGTAGAAGCTCAGAAAAGGTTAGCTGACGGGGTGTCCTCCAGAAGTTCTGGACTACAGCTCCCATGAGCCCAAACCAGAACAGGCAATGGTCCATGATGCTGGAAGTTGGACTCCACAACATGTAGTAGGTACTATGTTGGCTACTCCTAAGCCAGAGAGATCAATCAGCCAGAGAGAGAGGACGAGAGGGGGAGAGAGAAACCCTAAACTCTGAACTCTAGAAGATTCAATATAGGCAAAAGAAAGGACTTCTTCATGCAACACTATGGAACTCATTACCAAGGAGGAGGCAGTGATGGCCATCAGCTTGGATGCTTTTAAAAGAGGATTGGGAGAAATTCATGGTGGAGAAAGCTGCCAGTTACTATTAGCCATAATGGCTGTGTTCTAGCTCCACAGCAGTACGCCTGTCTCGGTTGCTGGAAATCACAACAGAGGAGAGTGTTGTTGGGTTTCTCTTTGGAGCATGTGGTTGGCCAGTGTAAGAACAGATTGCTGGACTAGATGAGCCACTGGCCTGATCCATGAGGTTTCTTCTTACATTCATAACCACTCAGCTCCCTCAAATGACTGCCACTTTTCTCGAAGATGGATTTGAATGAAATTCTTCCCTTCCATCAGAGGGTGCCCTGCTTGCCTCTGCATCCCTGCCAGACATCAGTCAGCCCAAGGCTGTTCCAAATCCCACCACCTCTTTGCCCTTTCTAGGTGAAAAACAACATTCATTGTGTTCCTGGCATGTGAAAAACTAACAAACCCCAATGTGCTGTTTTTTGTTTTATTTTTTTCTAAAAAAACAGATCCCACTCCCATCTGCTGCATGCAGGAAATATGGGGGTGGAAGAGATAGAAAAGCTTGTTTTATTCCTAGGTGCTGGAGTCTTTTTGAAAAGGGCTGAGAAATGTGTGTCAAAGACCTCACTCCTGCTCCTTCCAAAACCACAGGTCCCCAAAGCCATTGGCTGGGAGCAAGCCAAGTCCACTAGCCCTTGGCTCAGCTCATGCACCTCCATGCTCAGTTTGCAGAATCCAGGAGCATCTTGGGACTGAGTTCTTCGGCATGATGTTTTCAAGAGCCCAGTGAATCTATGAGTCCTGCAAGCTTCTTCCCTCCCTCCCCGACAGCTGGACCATGGACAACCCATCAAATCCTCTCTCTGTCATTTTAGCAAGAGTGCATAAACCACCCCCTCCCCCCAAAAAACCTCAATAGCAGAGGCAAAAGGCCCAAGAGCTAATCCTGTAGCCAACCCCAGCCAGCTGTAGAACTTGCTGCATGCCAGTTGGATCTTTAAGGGTCATTTGGAAGAGACAAAGGCAAAATCTGCCATTGAATTACCCAGCCAGCCTGCTTTCAGCGGACTCCCCTAATTTGTTTTCTTCTCTCTGCCTGGCCCTCCCCGTCTTCTCCCTCCAGCTGCCTGAAGCTCGTGCGCCCAGCTAGCTTAGAGGAATTATAGATGGTATGAAAAGGCAGAGGGGTCTGCTTGAAAAGCCTCCTCTAAGGATGCTCTCCCCCAAGCACCTGCAGATCTATTCCAATTAGGGGCTGCTTGCAAAGTGTGAATTGTGCCCCAGTCTTAGGAAGTCATGTTCAGGGACAGACGTGGCAGGCAGGCAGGCAAGCAGCAGCTCTGCTGTTTTGACCTGGCTTTTTCCCTCCCATTGTGAGCTGCCTTGACAGATAAGCTTGCATCAAAGGCAAATTTCGGTGCTATTAATGCTGGAACAGCCGTAACTATGAAAGTAGAGGTGGGCGATGCTACTTTTGTTTGTTTGTTTGTTACATCAATTCATTACAGTTCACCGATTTTAACAAGATGGTAGCAAGTCTTTGTCTTCATAAGGTCCACTGTTTCATGACAGAACAGAACCTGATCTGGTGGAAAAGATCAAGAAGTTAATGGGAGAGATTCTGCCTCTGCTTTGGATACAGAATCAGCAGAGCCACATGTTACTTATTCTGGCTTATCTATATAGCATCATCAGGTTACATGGCATCTTACTGAGTAGTGCTAGAGAGAAAACAACCAACCAACCAACCAACCAACCCACAGGCCTTTCTGCTGCAAGATGTTAACAGTCTCTCTCTTTTTTATATATATAACTTTTTTTTTTACATAATTTTATACATTTTAACTTTAACCCTTTCAAACATTTGAATAAAAGGTTCTATTGAACCTTTGGACCTCCTTCCCTCCCTCCATGGGTTCCATATTCAAGATAACAGTTTCTGCATCTTTTTCCTTTATCCATATGTTAAATATCTATAGTTACCATAATTAATTCCACATTACAGGTGTCATTATATCCCTGCCAATGATTTTAACTGTTTACAGTGGTCTTTTAAATAAATTAAGAATTTACTCCAGACTTTTAAGAATACATGCTCTTCCTGGTTTCTGATGTTCCCCATCAGTTTCACCATCTCTGCGTACTCCATCAGTTTTGTCCTACATTCTTCTCTTGGTACTTCTCCTTCCTTCCATCTCTGGGCTAGAAGCATTCTCGCTGCTGTTATTGCATACATAAAAAGTCTTTTATCCTCTTTTGGTATCTCTTCACCTATTATACCTAACAGAAAAGCTTCTGGTGTTTGGTTTTTTAACAAATGTGTTTTTAAACATTTTCTTTAATTCATTATATATCATTTCCCAGAAAGCTTTTACCAGTGTACATGTCCACCACAAAGCTGTTTACAGTCTCAATTAGAGCCGATTGGAGCACCTATCAAGCCTAAATGTAGTACACAGTCTGTTTTCAATGAGGGGATCACATAGGTAAATCTGGGCGGCTGAGGGCAGACTGAGGTTGCCGAAGCAGTGCCCCCTTCACTTAATGGAACCAGACTCCACTGCTGGATTATAAATTGAATTTTTTTTTCATTTTTATTTTTGCATGCAGAAAGCAGTGGCGGGCTTTGGGCTCTCAAATATCAGCGGCCCTGTGTGACGCTAAAATTCGGCGCCCCCCACCTCTTGCTCTCCATTCAGCAGCATTGTTGTAGTGCCCCCTGCAGTCCAGCGCCCAGTGCCACTGCACGGGTCATGCCAGTCTTAAACCACCTCTGCAGAAAAACACCTTCAGGGAGTTTTACTGCCAAGAAGATACGGTCAATGACAGACATTGTTTTCTTTTCCAGCTTCTCCAGCTTATCATAAAACAGCCAGCAAACAAGCAAACTTGACTAAGCCTGCTCTCCGTCTGCTCTCTGACTATTTATTTTCCAACTACAAAAAGGATGTCCGTCCTGTTCGGAACTGGAGGAAGACCACCAATGTGGCTATCGATGTCATGGTCTATGCCATCCTGAGTGTGGTAGGTCTTCTCCTACATCTCTCTCAAGTGGTCCAGGTTTCCTGTTCCCATGGATCAATGTGGGCATGTTTACAGACATGATCCACCTGAATTTAGGTAGCCCTCGCCATTTCCCAGGGAGTTACAACATTTTTATTTATTACTATTATTTATTAAATTTCTTTACCACCCTTCATCCGAAAATCACAGGAGGTTTACGATATAAAAACACAAAAATGCGTAACGTAGCAACAAATGAAAACAATACGTTCCCACTTGTGTACAGGTTTTCTGCTTCGGGCATTTAAAGAAGCTGGTCTCCACAATGTTTCACATCAGTAATGGGGAGCACCTGTGCCCCCCCCCCCGATGCTGGAGTATAATTCCCATCATCCCTGACCAATGGCTATGCTGGTTGGGGGAGATGGGGAGACTGATGGGAGTTGGATCCCAGCAACATTGGGGTGTTTGTGTTTGTTTGTGTGCGTATGTGTGACAAAAACTTCCCATCCCTGATTCACATGACAGAATTGGAATTTATCTGTTGATTTTAGGGACTAATGAAAGAGGAGGGGTTCACTTCTAAAGCATCACTTAGGATTCTTTCATACACTGTTTTTCTCTCTCCAGATGGGTACATCCATGGTGTGTTTCTATGCATGTAAAAAAATGCAAAATGTGGACAGTACTGAACTTATGTGTTCCATCAGCTCAAGGATTTCCACTTGTGCAACAGAACTCCCCTTCTCCTCCTCCTGTGTATGCCCCACAACCTCCCTATGTAGGGTTGGGAGAACTTTCAGAACAGATTTAGGGGTGCAAGGGTTGAGGAGAGGACAGAGGGGAAGTTTCCTTGCACAAGCAGAAATCCTTATTCTGGTGGAAGGTGCTGCTGAGTGCTATGCTGGGTACACCCTGTAAATATACCAAAAAGTCTGAAAACATAGGCATGTTAGAGATATAGTGCTGGGACTGGCTGCTTCTTCTTAGTGTGCCTGCATGCACTGTGTTGGTTGTTGTCTGATTGCTTATGGGGGCTCCTTGCAAATTCTTTAAGGTGTCACCAGCCAGCCTGCAGCCAGCCATATTGGGAGGTCATTAGTAGAACCTACCCTTTGGTTTCATTAGCCTGATCTCTGCTTCTCTGTTTTCAACAACAGGATGAGAAAAACCAAGTCCTGACAACGTATATCTGGTACAGACAGGTAAGAAGGCTGTGCCAATGGGAGCAATTTGTTCTCCTCCTTTCCTGCCCAACCCCTTTGACCTAGCAGCTGCTCATCACTGACACCACATAGGTCTCTTGATTCCTAGGATGCAATCTTCCATTCACTGGACTCCATAGTCTCCCTCTGCTGCGCTGGCTTCTGCAGACTATGGCTAGGGTTCTGTACTGGAAAGCTAGGCAGCATCTGCCATGAGCACTAAGCATTTGACAGCATAGAGAGGCAATTAAGCCCAATTTGCTCCTGGTGTTCAGACTTTGTTTTTGGCATCATACTGCCTCTAGAGACAATGGTGTGCACCTCTGGGGGAGAAGTCACACCACTGCATTAGTAGCACAATTGTTACCTTGGGGCACAAGCCTGGGCTAGGCTACCACACTGATGGTTTGTACAACAATTTAGAATGTCACTATTCTGGGTACCAAAGGAAGAAGGAAGTTTGCCCCACAGCATGTTTGAGGGATGAAGTAGCATAGGAGGGAAGATGAGAGCATATGATGTGAGCAGCTTATAAATAAAACAGGCCTCACCCTTAGAGGTGCAGGTGGGTCAGAAGGCTGCATCTTACAATAGAAAAAAGAAAAGAGAAGCATGCTAAAGGAGAAAAAAATGAATGATAGGTAGCATCTTGGCTCCCACCCAACACAGACAGAGGCTATTACTTGGAAGTAAGGAAGGTATATTTATGCAGACAAATAATGGTACAGGCTCAGCAGCAGATATGCTGCTTGAGAGTCACAATTTAGGAGCTAAAAAGCAGGGCCAGAAGTTCAGAACTGGACAGAAGTGATGGAGATGTCCCAACAAGATCCCCCACCTCTCCTGCTTTTAAAGATGAGGTGAGGCAAGGCAAGGCAAGGCAAGGCGTGTTCACTCACAAGACCTTGTGGTGCCTTGTGGTGATGTTGAGCTTGCCGGCAAACACTCTGTTGAGGCAGGTGGGTCTGCTTCCATCTAAGAAGGTGGTGCTTAGTTCTAGGTGACAAGACTGGAACCTCTTGTGTAGGCTTCTGTTCAGCCTTCCCTTTTGGCTGATCAAAGCCCCCCACAGCCTCCACTGAGGCTCTCCGCTCCACAGAAATCTCAGTACCCCTGCTCCCACTTTCAAAGTGACTGAAATGGGGTGGAAAGTGAAGAATTCCTCTCCTCTAACCCAGGTTCACACAGGGAGGGGGGAAAAAAAAAAAGAAAACTCAGCCACAAGTTTCTTAAATAAAATAAAAATATTCCTTCCTTCCTTCCTTCGAGACCAACTAAGCTCATACCAATAACAAACTTAGTTGGTCTCTAAGGGGCTATTGGAAGGAATATTTTTATTTTGTTTCTACTACGGCAGACCAACACGGCTACCTACCTGTAAAAGTTTCTTAAAGTTACAGTTAAACAGTTATATAGCTCTGTCTGTGCACGTCTTGGCTATCTAAGAGATTGGCAACTCTCCAGAGCCATTTTTTCCTCAAATCAGATCCCAGAATAGAATAGTTGACACCTACCCACAAGTGGTTCAGCACAGCACCCCACCTACTTATTTCCATCTACCACTGTGTCAGATCCTCCCCTCTGTTTTGCAGCACTGGATAGATGAGTTTCTGCAGTGGAATCCAAGGGACTTTGACAACATCACCCAGATGTCTGTCCCTACTGAGGCCATCTGGGTCCCAGACATTCTTATCAATGAATTGTAAGTGCACCATCCTTCTTGGGTTCTCCCCCCCCCCTCTTTCCACATTGGAGGCCAAAAATGTGGGATGGAAGAGAATGTGAGGATTTATTTCTGTTCTCTCACCGTTCCTCCCTTCCCAAGCCAACCTCTCCACTTTGTATTCTTGACAATGCTTTTCCTCTGGCTTGCCCCTCTGTGTACTGTATATTGCAGATGGGGAGAAGGCTGAGAAATTGGGACGGTTCCAGTAGTGGAAAACTATAAACACTCATAATTACCCTTGCTGTGTTGGGCGTGGGATTCAAATTTTCTGAGGAGAGAGAGAGAGAGAGAGGGAGAGACAATGGAGGGGCAGCTGTGGAGCCGTCAATGCATACTTGGAAGAGAGGGAAAGAAGGAAGGAAAGGCGGGAGGATGGAGCTATTGTTCTAAACCACCCTCCTTCTATTGTGACCACTGGAAGACCTAAGCAAGGATCAGAAAGCCCCTTTGGAGAGGAGAGGAAAATTCCTTTTTCGTATTCATGTTTGTAAGGTAAACAGCTTCATTGGAAAATGGCTGCATTATTTTAATGGGTCATCACAAGAGAGAACCAACTTGAGAAAGTGGAAAAGGAGAATTACAGGGTTCATAGGAAGCTGTTTAATACTGAGCCAGACCTATGGTCCATCTGTGTCTAGTGTGGTATAGCGGTCAGAGTGTTGGACTAGGATCTAGGAGACCAGAGGACAAATGAAAATCTAGGGTAGGAGAGGAGGAATGTGGTAGAGCGGCTAGAATCCTGAACAGGGAGCATGCTGCAATGTTTTGTTACTGGTAACCACTTGTAGCTCAGCATCTGGAATCTGGGATGGAGGAGTTCCATCGCTTGGTAGGTTTTGACTGCAGCCCAAATGGTTCATGTTCTCTCCCCTCACTTTGGCTCCCCCACTCTCTGTTTCCTGCAGTGTGGATGTGGGGAAATCCCCCGATATTCCCTATGTTTACATCCTCCATCATGGGGAAGTGCGGAACCTCAAGCCTGTCCAGGTGGTCACTGCCTGCAGCCTGGACATCTATAACTTCCCCTTTGATGTGCAGAACTGCTCTCTGACCTTCACCAGCTGGCTGCATAACAGTACGTGAGCAGTTGTGTTGCTTTTGCCCTGTGGCTTGTTGCATGCTGGGAGAAGAGGCCGACTGACCAAGCTAAATAGGAAGAGGCTCCTACTCCCTGGCTGCCAAGCATCTCCCCTCAACCTCCTCCCTGCAGAATAGGCTTGTCAATGGCTGCTTATTGTGATGGCTAAATACAAGCATCATATATACATACATGCTTCCTACCTCCAAGTAGCAGATACAGGAGCAAACTGTTAGAGGTGTGAGTCTCCCAGGAATAGAGCACTGAATAGAGCACCCACATCCTCACCACATGTTTCAAGCACTATGAGACCATTTTAAAGAATTCTGGGAGCTGTAGTTTGCTAAAGATGCTGAGAGCTATTAGGGGATCCCTATTCCCCTCCCAGAACCACAGTTCCCAGAGTGGTTTAACAAGCAATCCCTGTTCACAGGGAACTCTGGGAAGTGTGGCCCTGGGAGAGGAATAAGGAGTCTCCTAACAACTCCCAGGACCCTTAACAAACTACAGCTCCCAGAATTCTTTGGTAGAAACCATGACTGCTTAAAATGGTATCATAGTGTTTTAAATGTATGGTGTATATGTGGCTTAAGACAGACCCTTTTATGTGATCCAACTTGGCAGATACTATGGCCACCAATACCTTTTAAATGAACCTGATTCTCACATGGTCCCATTCCTTCAAGTGCTAGGCATGCACTCATCTTAGCTTGTTGAGTTGTGGCCCATTCAGCTGGCATTTCAGTGACTAACAACAACAACAACAACGCATTTTTCCATCTATAAGATGCCCCCATGTATAAGATGCCCCCTATTTTTGGGGACTCAGATTTAAGAAAATGGGAGAGATGGTCCAGAGTATGACGCCCCCTAATTTTTGACATTATTTTAAAGGGGAAAAAACCTAGTCTTATACACGGAAAAATACGGTATTTATATGCCGCCCATCTGACTGGGTTGCCCCAGCCACTCTGGGTGGCTAATATCATGGGCTCTCATTTTGGAACCCGCTATGTGGGGTTTTCATGTGTGGCCATCAGTCCAAAGTTATGTCTTTGATGGGACACACAGAAAGGTCATCAAATCACTTGGAGATGGGTGTAGCATGGAAAAGGGAGGGGATTCCTGCAGGGGATGATATCTTTGGCACCCTCATCCTACTTTTCTTCCTGTCTTCTGTTCCTCAGTCCGGGACATTAACATCTCCCTGTGGCGGACCCCAGAGGAAGTGAAACATGACAAGAGTGTCTTCATGAACCAGGGGGAATGGGAGCTTCTGCACGTTCTCAGCCAGTTCCGAGAGTTCAGTGTTGGTGACAGCGACTTCTATGCTGAGATGAAGTTCTTTGTAAGAAGTTCTGGCGGGCTGGGCAGGGGTGGTGGGTGGGAGCCAGAAACAGAATCTTCAGTGCATATTATTTGTTAAAAAAGGCTGGAGGTGGAAGAGTGGTGCAAAGCTCTGGTGATGAGATGCTGCTGCTGCAGGTTTCTTGCTAGTTTTCAAAAGAAGGAGGGAGGAGAAATGGGTTTTCTCTAAACTGGAGCTACCTGAATCCAGAAGGGGAAAAAAGATGCTTCAGTATCAGCATGAGGAGAGTCAATCTGCTGCAGGTTGTGACCTATACCTTATAGAAGCAGAGGGTTGTAGCCAGCTAACTTCTTCTCAGCACAGACCTACTGAAATTCATGAGCCTAAGTTATCCATGCCTCTTAATTTCAGTGGTCTACTCTGAGTGTGACGTGTCATTGGAGGCAAGCCACAGGAACTACAGCTCAACTGAAACAATTCATTCAGAAAGGCCATAAGGCACCCCAAAATTTTTGTGTGATTTTTGGCACTGCTTGCCAAACATCATTTATCAACTTTACCCTCACCCTCATTTTCCCTCTTTTGTCCTTGGTCACTACATCATGTAGCAGCATTCAATTGCTTTGTGGCATTGTGCTCCAGGACTGCAGAACATCATGTTTGATGACTTCTTAGAAGGCTGAATTTCTAAGATATCATTAATTTCTTTTCCTGGTTTTTTCCTGAGCATTCCTTTTCTTAAAATGCACGTTCAGAGAAAATGGGGCCTCTTCCTGCAATATATCTCATAACATATATATATGTAATCTTTTTTAAGTGCTTTTTTTTAAGGAAAAATGATGTTGGTACTCACCATGAAGTTGTTACAGTAAGTGCCACACTTAATTTTTTTAAAAAAAATCTTTACTGGAAATTCAAAAAGTGCATAATTATGTGTGCACTAAACATGGTGAGACTTAAATAAAAGAGAGAAAGAGAGAAAGAGAAACAGAACCTGTGTAGAAGGGAAAATAAAGGGGGGAGGGGGGAAAACATACCCAAAGCTGTATATTTTACAAGGTTGTTATTGTACTTCATGAGATCTTAACCTACTTCAGTATTTGTAAGAATGGATTCCATTCCAATTTTTTGGCGAGGGAAGGTACCAGTACTGTGTTTCCTTGAGTACCCCAGAAAAAAGCACTGATCTCACCAGATTCCCCACTTTGAAATATTATACTCAGCTTGGAGAGGTCTTGCAAACCCAGTGCGACTTTTCCTGAATTCCCTGCTTTTCTAATATTATGAAGGAGAACATTTTGGGACCATGCATTGTGAAAACATGGGCAGTGGAATCAGCCAGCCCTGGTCCAGGGAAGGAAGGGTTAACCTTGCCTGACAGGCAGTTTTGCAGCAAGCAAAGGACATAAATATTTCAGCAGCGGGAGGAAAGACTGGGCAGTGATGCACATCCCAGAGGACTCCTTGATGCCCCCCTGCCAGCTTAGCCAGACGCCTGGTGCCAATGGAGCCCTTGGCTTGTGCCACTTTGCAGCAGCTTAGGAAGCATTAAATGGGACGATGAATTTGAGGGAGAGCCAGCCACCCATTAGAGCATGTCTCAGCTAGACCCAAGGCCCATGCCTGACTCCTTGTGCCTTGGCAGGTGGTCATCCGAAGACGCCCCCTCTTTTACGCCGTCAGCCTATTGCTTCCCAGCATCTTCCTGATGGTCATGGACATTGTGGGCTTCTACCTGCCCCCTGACAGTGGAGAGAGGGTCTCCTTCAAGATCACCCTGCTCTTGGGCTACTCTGTTTTCCTGATCATTGTCTCTGATACACTGCCAGCCACGGCTATTGGGACCCCGCTGATAGGTAATAATAATAATTTTATTATTTATACCCTGCCCATCTGGCTTGGTTTCCCCAGCCACTCTGGGCGGCTTACAGCATATCTAAGAACATAAAACATCAAGCGTTAAAAAACCTCCCAATACTTCAGATGTCTTCGAAAAAGTTGTGTAGTTCTTTATCTCTTTCACATCTGAAGGGAGGGCGTTCCACAGAAGGGTGCTGCTACCAAGAAGGCCCTCTGCCTGGTTCCCTGTAGCTTTGCTTCTTGAAATGAGGGAACCAGCAGAAGATCCTTGGTGGAGGACCTCAGTGTCTGGGCTGAGCGATAGGGGTGGAGATGCTCCTTCAGGTATACTGGGCTGAGTAAGATCACAGCAGCCCCACTGACAAAAGCATGAATGGGATGAATTGTGCAGCATGGCTGGTGGTGCCTTGCGTTTAGTGAGTTGTGGGATAAAACAAGAAATGGTTAAGATGTGCTCGTGACATCAGCCCTATTATGATTAATTTTTATTTTATTTATTAGTTGCTTTCCATACACAAAATGTCTCAAAAATTGACCTTCAGGTCCAGAAAACCCCAAAACCCCAAAAGCAAAGGCTGAAAATGCTTAAATGCATCAGGAAATACAACAGCCTAAGTGTTCTCCGTTGGGATTATTGGCAAGTTTGCTAGGTATGCCTTCCTGTTTTTGAGGGTTTTTTTGCAAGCGGTCCTGGAATGTGGGTCATGGCCAATGAACTGCACAGCTTGGGCTACCTACAGCATCATCTGGACGTTATTCCATGTGTGATAAGGTGTGGTTGAGGTGCAGATCTCGGCCCAAAGAGGAAAGGGAGAAAGAATCTAGGATAAGAAATGTTAAAGGAGTTCTCACTGAGGGAGGATCAACAGCCCCACACAGGGTTTTTGAGGAGCCCCAAAGGCTGAGATGAGGGGGTGTGAGAAATGGAGGGCTTGTTTCTGGTGCTAGAAGCTTTATCTCATAGAATCTTTGAATGGGAAGGGACCATGAGGATCATGCAGGAATATGCAGCTATCCCTTACAGGGATCGCACCTGCAACCTTGGTGTTATCAGCGCCACTCTCTAACCAACTGACCTACTTAGCTCAGAAATGGACTTGGCTGAAGGTCATGGCTTTCCTCCAACAGGGGTCTATTTTGTGGTGTGCATGGCGTTGCTGGTCATTAGCTTGACCGAGACCATCCTCATAGTGCGACTCGTGCATAAGCAAGATCTACAGCCTCATGTACCTGACTGGGTGAAGCGCTGGGTGCTGGAACGGGCCACCATCCTGCTCTGCATCCGAGACAGGAACACGTTCTGTCCGGTCCACACTCAGAGCTCTGACATCTCTGGGAACATGGAAAACAACGACAGTACAGGTAAGAGCAAGATCAAAGTCCCAAATGGGAATGCAAGCATGCGAACACTCTGTTCAGACGGATGCCCATATCGAATGGTACATTATTGGGGATAGAAAGGCTAACTGCATGAAAGCAGATGGAGAGCAGGGGGCGAGGGAGAAAATAGCTGTTAATATTTTACTGGGCAAACTGAACAAAAACAGGACATAATATGAGGAGAAATGAACAGAGAGGTTTGATCTTATTTATAGGCCTTGGAGACAGCAGGGGTAGACATGCAACCAAACATACAGGGGACTACATAGCCAGGTGGCGCTGTCGGTTAAACCACAGAGCCTAGGACTTGCCGATCAGAAGGTCAGCGGTTCGAATCCCTGCGACGGAGTGAGCTCCCATTGCTTGGTCCCAGCTCCTGCCAACCTAGCAGTTTGAAAGCACATCAAAGTGCAAGTAGATAAATAGGTACCACTCCGGCGGGAAGGTAAACAGCGTTTCTGTGCGCTGCTCTGGTTCACCAGAAGCGGCTTAGTCATGCTGGCCACATGACCTGGAAGCTGTACGCCGGCTCCCTCGGCCAATAAAGTGAGATAAGTGCAGCAACCCCAGAATCGGCCATGACTGGACCTAATGGTCAGGGGTCCCTTTACCTTACATAACCAATCAGAACCTTAGCAAGGATCATGCCAACCTGGCTGGTTGCTAGACAACACCTCCTCCACCGCCACCTATCTTGATTGGCTGTCTGTCAGCTGCGGCCACCCGTAGGTTCCTAACCGAATGATCCTTGCTGTCATATTAAGTTATTGAAATGATTGTGATGAGCGAAGTGGGGAGCTGTTGTGAACTGACCCATGGCTCTGGCACTTAGGCTGGGACACAGCTCCCCAGTGTGTCCCTCATATTTGTTTCAGCTTTACCAACCATTTCCTTTACCTCTCTCCAGCCAAACTGAACCACTACAGCTGTGAAAGCACACGTGACTTCGAAGGAGGAGCAAGTGGTACTATGACCCAGCCACAAGGGGAGAGCTCGCTGGTGGTTGAAAGTATCCTGCAAGAGATTGCAGCCATCCGCCAGTTTCTGGAGAAGCGGGATGAATTCCGTGACATTGCCCGTGAATGGCTGCAGGTGGGCTACGTCCTGGATGTTCTTCTTTTCCGGGCATACCTAGTAGCTGTGCTGGCCTATAGCATCACATTGGGCACTCTGTGGTCCATCTGGCAATACGCCTGAGACACACACCATACAGATGGGTTTGTCAAGCAGTTATGCTTGATGAGTCTTTTTGAGGTCTTTGGACTCATTGATATGTAGAACTAAGACCCAGGCTCTGAGGTACTGCTCATGGACATGCATCTTAAGATTGATGGCTTCAAGTGTCTCTTAAGACTAGTCAATGTGTATCTGTTTTGTTATCCAGGTGCAATACTTGCCTAAGTGGCTTGTGACCTGCCATCCCCACTTGTCTTACCTGCAAAAAAAGGGCAGAAGCACATGCAGTTGCTCCTAAGCAATGTTTGTACACATCCTAAAAATAAATAAATACCTTATGATGCATGCCAGTTAAAAACAAATTCCGATTCTGGCTCCAAACTGGATCCCAGAAGGGGAAAGGAAGATGAGTTGCATGGAACTGATTTTTTTTTTACCCTACCCTAAATCCAGTCTTCCTGCTTTCCACCCCAATTCTACATTTTCATTGCCAATTCTCCATTGTAGAGCACATTTACCACCTCCATCTCAGCACAAAGGAGCTTCATCCTGGTGGCCAAGCTATTTTGCTTTAACTAGCCCTGTCAACCCGAGAATATGCCAAATATGGATAGAAATCTTGCAGTGGAGCTTGCCTAGGATTGCCAATCAAAAGTCGGCAGTTTGAATCCCCGCAATGGGGTGAGCTCCCATTGCTCGGTCCCTGCTCCTGCCCACCTAGCAGTTCGAAAGCACGTCAAAGTGCAAGTAGATAAATAGGTACCGTTCCAGCGGGAAGGTAAATGGTGTTTCCGTGTGCTGCTCTGGTTCACCAGAAGCAGCTTAGTCATGCTGGCCACATGACCTGGAAGCTGTATGCCGGCTCCCTTGGCCAATAAAGTGAGATGAGTGCAACAACCCCAGAGTTGGTCACGACTGGACCTAATGGTCAGGGGTCCCTTTACCTTTACCTTACTATACAAAGAAAGTTTCACAGTGGAGAACCAAAACCAGGGTCACATCTAGTCATTTGCTACAATCCTTTCCTCCCTGCTGCATCTGTTTACTGGGTTTGAGGCCAGTTGTTGCTGAAGACTGTGTTCAACCAGCATTTTCTCTCCCTCACATGTACCCTCACCCTGATGCCATTTCTTATTGGGGACTATATTTTTCAGACGTCTTGAAACATCTCAGACGTTTGCTGCCAAGGGTGCATGATGCTCAGACTGTTCACCCATTTTGTAAATAACGTTCCTCCCCACCTGTACAGTAACTAGCTGCTTGCATTAACCTTTTCACCTGAGCCATCTGTAAAGCAGGCAGCTTCTTTTCTCGTGGTTCATCCATTTGTTGTGCAATAAACTGGGTGTTTCTTAAGTTAAATGGAATGTGCCGGAGTTACTCATTACAGCCAGAAAGGAGGTGGGGGCTATGGGCAAGGAATGAAAGGGCATGGAAGACCCCTCGGTTAAGTATCTAGAGAAGGTAAGACTGGTTCTTTTTTTTTTTTTTTAATCAACATTGATTCAGCATTGATTCACTCATTGAAAACACTCATCCCAGGCTTGGGGGAAATGCAAAAACATTCCCGCATGTGATAAAGCACTAGAAGGTATAGAGAAGATAAGATGGCAGTTTCCACTTGGTCAGTTTCTGTTGGTATGGGGATGTGTAAACTTTGATCCTAATCTAGAGGTTAGTAGCTGTCCTCAAGTCTCAATGAAATTAGCAGAACGTGTTAGTCACATCCAGCTTAAATCCCATTGATTTCAATGGAACTTAAGTCAACTATTTTCTATCAGTTGTGTTCAGTAACTCAAGGATACATCTTCTATCCAGATGTCCTGGACTGGCTGGATGCAGATGTGTGGTGGGAGGCACCAGCTGGGGAACCTCGAAGGGAACCCCCAGGGGAAGAAAGCTCAGCCAGGGGATTGGCGGTGGGATGACAATGAGTGGTCAGAGAGGGAAGAGGGAGTAGACTGGAAGGAGGAGGTGTCAGAAGCTGAAGAGGTAACAGGGTTTATTGAACAGGAAGAGGCTGTGGCAGAGCGCAGTTCAGAATCAGAGGCAGAATGGGGCGGTGGGGGGGAGAGGCTGAGTAAAGACTGCAGGCTGCTGAAGAAGCCAGGGAATCTTCCCCTTCTGTTGTGACCAGCTCCCGCCCCCCTGAGTTTCCCAGAATACACAGAGATATGAAGAGGATGGAGCAAAGAGAGGCAAGACACCAGAGCCTTAGGGAAGGAATTGGGGGAAGAGCCTTAGAGAGCGGTGGGAAGGTGGCGACCTTTAATCCCCACAACTGCCTCCTTGGGGCAAGACCTACTGGGAAGAGTTTCTGCGATCACTAGGCCTGCACTGTTTTATTTTCTTTTAATAAAGAGTTAACTTCACAGACACCAGAGTTTTTTTTTATCTCTGACCTGCTCTGGCTCCTGACAACAGCGTAGAAGGTCAGTCTAGTATTACTACTTAATAGTTATTTATCTATGACACTATCCTAGGCACAACTGTTTTTACACAGCCCCCTCCTTCTGATGTATATTAATTTCAGGTAATGAAAATTAACAATTGATTCCAAATAGAATGAAGCCGGGATGTTTCTTAGGTTCCCTGGTCCTTTCTATCTGTATATAGCTATGAACTAGTGTCCTCCCACTTCTGCCTGCCAGGAAAAACTGTGTAACATGAAAACTTTCACAATCTTAGAGCGGCATAAAATTGATCTCAGCAAAAAGCGTGCCTTACCATTTCTTCTCTCATTCACATTCTGGGATGAAATCTGAAATCCAAAGCAAACTGTTCTGAGGGGGATTTTTCAGCACCATGGACAGAGACCCCAAGCTTTGCCGTGTGTTGCCCTGAAGGTGTCTCTCTGTCCTTTTAACTCAAATCAGTGGTCAAATGCTGGTGGAATAGGCAAAAGCACACCCACCCCACACAAAGTTGCTAAGCGGGGTGTGTGTGTGTGTGTGTGTGTGTACGTACAATAGCTGCGTGGGCACTTCACACCGCAAGTCCACAACAAAGCTCAAAGGAATGAAAAGCAGAAAATAATAAGCAGCTCACATGGACTTGAAAATACCAAACAGTAGCTGGTCTCAATAATGGCTCAACACCTACACACTTGTCCATCTGTCACTTGGCAAATATCATTGCAGATCTCATGGTGCCCCACTCAAACCTCTCTGGGTCTCTGTTGCTGCAGAAGGGAACCCATCCTTGACTCATCCCTTTGCAAGGAATAATAATGAGCGCACATCACCCATCCAGACTTTTCTTGGGCATGGTGCTGGTGTGTGTTTACATAAACATTTTCCCCGTATGCGTCTATCCAAAAGGAGCTGCATGCTGGCTGTGTCAATCTGCTATTAATATGACAAGGACTTGTCAGAAATTGTATTTGGGTGGAGGGTATAGAAAGCAGTTGAGTGATCATCTTGCAAAATGTTACGAAAATTTAAAAAAATCAAAGCAAGGACCCGGAGAACGTTGGCTTATAAACCTGTGCATTGGAGCTTCCATCTGTTTTGCGGAATAGATGCAGATCCCATCCAGCCATTCCTCACTATCACCTCTTCACAGAGGATGGCCTTATGGTGTCACCTCTTTCTTGTAAGTCACCATCAGCTCAAAGCTCCAGCTGCAGCAAATGAAAAAGGAAGCATGCTTTATTTGTGTGGACTGCCAGAAGTGGTGTCCACCCTGCCAAAAACTTTCATCAAAGTCACAAGAGAAGTGGGTGCATTTTTTTGGTGACAAAGTATGTTTTTCAGGCATGGTATATATTGCCTATGGAACTTGTTGCCATGCAATGCCTGTTTAGCCACTTGCACAAATACTGTGTGGGAGATTAAATGAATACCTATAAGTCCACTTGGAGATTTAGCAACCTCTGTATTGAAGGGAGGTTCTGGCAAGGTGATATTAATACCCATCCCATTGGCCTCATGGTATGCAGTTAGCTACTGTCAGTATGTTGAGATAGTTGGGCTATAGGTTTGTGACAGCTAATTAGCACATCACATCTCTGATGGCTTATATGTACACCTAACATGTGCAAACAACATGTACCTCAGAGTTACATGCATGTAACCAGCATGCACCCAGTGACAAACCCAGGTTTGTTTCCATGTAATGTGTGAAATAGTCCTGAGCCAGCATGCCTCTGTTTTCCTGGAAGTCTAGTAGCAAAGGGCAGGGGAGCTTCCCCAGTTGAACAGGCCTTTTCTCCGTTAATGGTTTACCCTGCGGGCTTCACAGATTGACCATCAAGAACTAGTATGTTTGAAGGGGTTTCTGCACAGGTTGGACCTCCAGATCCAACTTTCAACTCAACAAGCTAGATGTTCTACAGAAGGACTGGTATGAATTAGAAGCCACTTGAGATGAAATAGTGTCTAGCACTGACAAGATTCCACATGGTACTTGGATCAGTTTAGCTTGAGGACTCTTAAGTCCTTCCAACGTCTGCTGAACACCAGGCTGTGATGTTGACCATCCCACCTGCAAGAAAAAATATCAGCGTGACTGGCAGGTGGTAACCAGTATGGTGCAAGTGTGGGATCTCGGTAGCAGGGTTCGCAATAATGTGCTGATGATCTGTAAGTGGCTGGCTATTGATGAGGTGTCCAGCTAAAGAGTTAGTAAGACACTAAATCAGCCCCATTGATCCTAGCGAGATCGATGGTGCTACAGACCTGATCACTGCAACGGGCAATTAACAACCGCTGGAATGAGCTGCCTTCATGTAACATCAAATGCTTCAACAGACAAATCCAATCGCCACATCGATCTGGCCCTTCCTGGTGCCGTGACAAGGTGTGTGTGTTCCGTGTGTACATTCAAAAAGCAAGTGTTGGAGTAGAGAATGCACAGGCACCTGAATGCATGAGAGGCACACCCATTCACATCTCACCTGAGCACCTTTTCCTTAAGGAGTATGCTGGGTGGATAATGCCTACAGCTAAACCGAGTTTTGGGCCTCCTCTATTTACTCCACTCTGCATTTTAGGAAAAAGCTCAGCTGTCTGGGTTTCATA